TTGTAGGGCGCTTTTAAGTTTCTCACCAAAGACTAATTCTCTTAAAAAGTATAATTTAACTGAACAAATGTTAAGTGCTTAGTAAACTATTATGTCCTTAAAAAAGTGTGTTACGTGTCGAAAAGAGCTTCTACCTCTGTTGTCTTTAGGACGCTACTTCGCTCGCTTAGCTTTTGTTAGCCATTGCTCTTTGTTCTGGAAATATAATCTATGCAAAATTGTGGGATGCATACCGCAATAATAAATTACATCTAAAAAAATTGAAAGGTTTTAGATTTTAAATTACGTCCAACGGGGCGTTTTTGTAACATTTTGTGTGTTACTTTTATTTATTAAATATCACGTTCTTCGCACTTAACCCATGAAATTCAGTTCAAGAGCAATATCGGTAAATAATTTTAAAATAAGCACATCTTTAGAATTTCTGATACAGTTCGATCCAGCAGAAGTCTACACACGAGGGTACTTGTGTTCAGAGACCCTACATTTTGTAGAATAAAATAAGACGTTTACGAATCTTGTTAAGAAATAATCTGAGTATTTTACTCGAACGAAAATCTGAAGAAACTAAATTAATAAAGCTGCTAGGAAATTGAGATGAAAATATTAAGCTTGCAAAATAATTTAAATTTTAGGATATGAGAAATTTAAGGATCTAAAATCAAATAGCTGCAGGCCAGGAGGCCATCGAACTGGCGAGCTGCAAAAATTCAGAAGTCTTTGAGAGGTAAAAAGCAAATGGAATTACTCTGGTCATCTGCATGATTTTCTGTACGGTTCGGAGTATTCTTCTCAGTTTCTCAGCTAGGTTGACATTCCGAAGGAAGCTTAGAATTTCGGAGAAAACTTTTAGCAGTTCTTGAATTTTCGCGCTAAGAAACCAGGATAGAAGTTCTTCCAGGATGTTTAGCGACGTTGGAGGCTTGCTTCTCAATTTTTTTTTTTTTGCTGTAGCTGGCTTTGCTCGCAGCACTGGTCTGTCCGAAGATTTGACTTTGCCAGCTCAGGAAAGTTTTCTTGGGTGGCATCTGGGGGTGATTTCCGCTGAGTTCTGGGCTGACTTCCTTTCTGAAGCTTCATCTTATATGCCGCGCAACCACGGAAACTGCTTACATGGTCCCCTTGGCAAAAAATGCAGCAGGGCTTTTCTTTCGGCCTTTTCGAGCATGTAATTTCTGATACACAACGCCGAAGATAAACTGTTTTGTCTGTGCAACGTTGCCATTGCTCGCTTTGAAATCCTTGAGTTTATTAATCAGAAATTCGTAAAGTTTTGCAAAATAGGGAATCGACAATAAAACAAATTCCAAATTTCAAATTTGGGCTTCCAGATGCCCATATTCGTAGGAGGATAACGCTATTCAAAATTGGATGGCTCTAGTTACCGTTGCTTTATCACAGTGCTAAGAAACATACATACGTACATTTATGCAGATTCGTCATTATTTAATTTTTTAAAATATATAATACAGGGCGATAATTTTTGGTGGCAACAATTTGTAAAGTGAAACAACGCTTACAGTGAATCAACGCAAAATGCCAAAACGAAGTTAATAGTCCTTCTGGGCAGACTGCTCCTGTGGCCTAAAAATATAAGTTCTAACCCTTATTTTAATTCCGAAAATTGAAGGAAAATATAGTCATTTAAATTTGTTATTATCCCACTAATTGTGTATACATAGAACAGCTGCAGCAAAAAAAAAAAAAAAAAAAAAAAAAAAAAAATATATATATATATATATATATATATATAAAATAAAGCTCTATGCAGTATATATATATATAGATAGATATACGTAATGTTACATATTGATTTAAGTACTATATACTGCATATTGATTTGCACTCTAATTCATATTTTAATTTCAATACCACGTGCATGTTATAAGTTTTTAAACCTAGGTGCCGCCAGTGGCGAAATGGTAAAATTCTAGAATACAGGTAGTTCGACATGGGTTCGTAGCCAAGCGAACGAGTTGGGTATGAGAGTTTAGAAGTTTAGATGATTTGCCTCTTATGCATTATGAATACGAATCATCTTCCCTTTGAAAAGCCCTCCAACATCCCATTCGATCTTCGGCACAAAGCTTCCCCATGCTTTGACGTACTTCAATCTTATGCATAGCTTACACTCACCAGAACATGTAATCATGTTCATTTTAAGCATAAATTATTAAAAATGGTATTCTCAAAATAAAATAAGTTTAAGAAGAAATTCATTACAAATATTTTGTGTTCAAAAGTTTTATAATCGCGAAAACCTAAATGTGTTTTGAAACAAATGATTAGTGAAACTGTATCATAATCTAATTACAAATAACTTTGTCAAACACAAATTATACTTAAATATTTGTATTAATAACTACTTGTATGCTTAAATACTTGTATTTTAAATTATACTTAAATACTTGTATTATATACTCATTATATAATACAGTCATCATAAATTTTAAAAATTAATAATTCTTACACACTCAGAAACATTTTAACGCTGTTAGTGAATTTATATCATATTTTATTATAAATTATCCACATATACATCATTGCCACTTCCAGCTAAAAATATGATGAAATAATCATGCACCTTAAGTTCTGAATGAAAACATCTGTAGAGTTCCTCACTTTGGAATTCTAAGTTAAATTTTGAAGTGAAGAATCTAAGAACTGATAAGCGAATAATCGCTTGAGTTCGGTGACAACAAGATAGAAGGGTAACTAACGCTTTATTATTCCAATAAGATTTATCAAAACTCCGTCTGCGAGTGTACAAGCAAAGCCCGCACTTGGACTTGAACTTAAAAGACTAAGAATTAAACTAAAACTAAGATTAACTAAAGAAGTATAGCCCAGGTTCAAAACGAGTTGGCTCCCTTAACTTATTTGACTACGAAGCTTAGCAAGGGCCTGAGTACGGCCGAGCGTAATACAGCTTTGAGAGAGAGAGAGAGTGGCCAAAAAAGCAGACGCGCGTAAATCAACTCTGATTCTCTCTGACTCAGTAGTAACTTCGCGGTTAATACCGCTCCTCCTCATTAAATATTCAGCAAGATTCCAAAACTACGTTCTGGCCGGAGGTAGTAAGTTGAAGTTAAGAATTTGACAGGAAAGGAACTTTAACTTAAAATTGAACTGTTAATAAAATTAACATAATCCTTACACATCTTTACTAATTTCTTAATTTGATTATAACTTGAGATTGATTCAAAATTCATTAATAAAATTCTAAAAGTATTACAGCATAATTCTCATGCATGGAAATAAATTATTGTTTTATTATAGTGGATAAAAAGCTATTATGTAGCATTTGATACTATATATTCAATAATTGCATGCTTTATTTTTTTCTGCGAATTCTCATTATTGTTTACATTCATCCACCTTCGGATTAAAATTCATGCAGTTGATTTCTTCTGCTTCAAAAACTCTAATTCATAAATATACTCATCATATAATGCAATCATCATAAATCTTAAAAATTTAATAATTCTTACACACTCAGAAACAGTTTAATGATAATCTAGTGGGAAAAGGTGCCATAATATATTCCTCAATATACTTTGAAGTATTTCACAGAACAGAAGTAACTTGGAAACAGATTTTTCCAATTGTGTTTCAAAGATTTATATAGTAGTGTGCCTAGTATCATACATAAAAAGCAATTCGGTAGTATTTAAAATATCATAATTAAAGAAGCTGCTATATTTAAATGTAATTTTAATTACTTAATATTTTGAGTAATAATATCTATAAAATATGTAGATACAAAAATTGATGTCTTGTTTCCATATATTCCATCACGCCCAATAGACACCAATAATTAGTTCTTAAACTTATTAAATTATTATCATCAATATCAAAATTATTATTATAATTATCAAAATTTAATAATGATTAAAATGTAGTGTCTACATCTTTTGAGTAATAATATCTATTAATTTCTTAAATTAGCATTTATAAAAATTAATTTCTTGTTTTCATATATTCAGTCATGACCAATAAACACCAAAGATTAGTTCTTAAACTCTGTAAACTTAATCATTATCAAAATTTAATAATGACTGAAACGCAGTGTCTTTGTCTTTTGAGTAATAATATCATTAAAATATATACAAAAATTGATGTCTTGTTTTCATATATTCAATTGGTTCTTAAACCAATAATTAGTTCTTAAACTCTGTAAACTTAATCATTATCAAAATTGAATAATGATTAAAATGCAGTGTCTTTGTCTTTTGAGTAATAATATCATTAAAATATATACAAAAATTGATGTCTTGTTTTCATATATTCAATCATGCCCAATAAACACCAATAATTAGTTCTTAAACTTAAATCATTATCAAAATTTAATAATGATTAAAATGTAATATCTATATCTAAGCGTCCGGTTATATGTTTCTTAAAAATTAAACTATCAGATACAATTAAGCTTATAAAAATTATTAGATACAATTAAACTGCTCTTGCCAAGTCATTCCCTCAACTTACCATAGACTGTAAATTTATATACACTTAAATACATGTATTTGGAATAACAGCTCAAATTCGATATGATAAAGGGAAAAGTCATGTGTTTTTATGCAAACACATTAAAATTCTCCACTATTCTATTACTAAAATTTATGTGAAATTACTAAAATATTACTAATCATTACTAAAATATTTAATAAGTAAAACTTATGTGAAATTACTAAAATATTTAATAAGTAAAATTTATGTGAAATTACTAAAATATCACTAAAATTTATGTGAAATTACTAAAATATCACTAAAATTTATGTACTGAAACTTTGAAAGTTACTCTTCCACACCATTTTATTAATATGTTAACTAGTGCAAAAAGTAATGACAAACATTAAACGTTTTGCATCAAAACTGAAACCAAGTAATAATGAATATCTGCTTCTATATTTGTACAGCATTCATACATTTGGATACATATGCATTATTACACATTCTCATTAATATATCAAGAAACGAAGAACAAGTTTAAAACTTACTAAAAAAATTCGGTTGACAAAGTTGTTGCGAAGTGTCCAAGCTCACCGATAATGTTGAAGCAAATTTTGAACAGCGAGAGTGAGAGTGTATTTAAGCCTTTTTTTTTTTTTTTTGGGCTGCACTTTCCGCTGTAGCACATCAACAAAATGCACCCGATAAGAACAATCTTATGTAATGGAAAACAACTCTCGAAGTAAACAATGACCTTGAAGCATAATTGGACTTTCCCCAAAGGTAATTCAACCATTGGATTTGCGTGGTCAAAACCAAGAAACACGATTATTGGAGCAATAGACCAAGCGAAGGTATTTTTCATCTCCTATCAGCGAAACGGAACAGAGTATTTTTTTTTTACCCGTTGCAAGTGCACATCCATATTTATAAGAAAGCATGCTTCGAATACTGAATGCTAATTTAAAAAAGAAAAATTATTTATAGTTGTATCAAGCTATCCAAAACTGATAAAATCTTGAAGGTCTTTTATACTTGTTTCATTCGCTCTGAAACTTGAAGTGTTGCACGGATTGTTAAGTTCATAGGGTTGTTTCTTATCAGAGCAGTAGTTTGTTTTTTCCTTATTGATTACAACAGGAAATTATTGCTTGAGGTCACAAAGTACTTCATCATTACCGAAAACTATTTTTACATTTTGTTACTTGAAGGTTTTACTAAATAATATTTGATGACTGACGAGCAAATCTGTTATACCAGTGATGGACAACTTCTGCACACATGGAGATCAATTTAAGGTGTGTGTTGATTCCACGGGTTGCAAAAATAGTTGTTTACGCAATATTAAGGTACACATCCTCAAACAATATTTATATTAATATCTCCATATATATATATATACTCTGCTTTTGCAAATATTATTTATTGCCTATATATTAATATGCCCATACGTATCTTCTCTGCTTTTGTCAAAATACTAAAATATACATCGCGACTTTGGTAAACTTAAGTTTGTAATGTTGTAATGATCTGTTTTTTACTTCGGGTAATTTTCGGGTATCCTATTTTCATCAAAAATATCCACTTTGATTGCTATCGAATGCAATTTAACGATGTTTTTGAGCAACATCTGTACGTAAGGACAGAATAGAGGACTCTTTTTTCCCAAAACGGGTTGCAAAAAGGATTTAAAATGGCTTCAAAAGAGATTTTTTTCGTGACGTCTGTGTACGTACGTATCATTATCATTATAAAGGCACAGCCCCGATCCTCCTAGCCGACACAAGCCGCCTGTACGAACAAAGAACGGGACTGGCCAGATATATATATATATATATATATATATAATTTGAGTCTCAGTGCCGAATTCCAATTGTATTTTTGTTCGTATGTATTTTCATCATTGTCTCTGCAAAATCTTTCAAATTTGAATAGTTCCATTTAAAATCTTTCTTAAAATTCTTTCTATATTTCTCTCTTGCACTCTGGGTAAGTGTACATTTATGAATAAAGTGATTAGCATCCCCAAACTAGTCACATACTAAGCATTTATCATTATTCTGTAGATGGAGCCGATTAAAATAATCCGGGAAACGCCCATGATTAGTCTGTACCTGATTTATATCAATATTATTTATAATATTCATCTTCTTATTTAACTTTTATTTATTAACTTAACTTTTATTTATATTTTTCATTAACTTTTTTTCTTATTAGACGACACCCAGAAAAAACTACAGTCTGTATAAATCCAGTTTTCCATTTCAGCAATGGTAAATTTTTCTTGTGTCTTAGATATCAAACTTATCGGTTCCATTCCCAAGTGTCGCCATTGTGTACGTACGTATGTACGTATCTCGCACAACTCAAAAACGAGCAGCCTCAGACGGTTGAAATTTTGTATATAGGACTGCTATAAGATGTAGTTGTGCACCTTTTTAGTTGCAATAAGTATATAAAAAGTATTTTATTTACTATCACCACTTTATTTATTATCACCACTCTGTTACTCGGCTTCGTGAGATCAGTTTTTTTTTTTTTAAATTTTTATATGTTGGTAAATTGCGCATATTATGCTTAGTGAAAGTGATTGTGTTATATTTAAAAGTGATTGAATTATGTTGTTCTTATGTTTCGGTTAAGGATTTTATGTCTTTAGTTAATCTGCATGCAATAGTTGTAAAATTATCAACAATTTAATGAGCCAAAATTTAAGAGATGTGTAAGTTAATTAGGCTAAGCCTAATTTTATTTTACCTTAGCAGCCATATTTGTTTACATTTGAAATTTAGCAGAATAATGAATTTAGTCAGTTTATGCCCCGTCATTGTTTGTTGGCTGAATGAAACCAAAAGTAAACTTTAAGTTTTGGGCACCGAAAAATATGCTTTCTTCCCCGTTGGCCGAATTCTTTTTTTGGGGGTAGAAACTCTAGTTTTACTTGTAAAAACGTTTTTTAAAATTGTTTTAACTGTATTTGGTGTTTTATATTTTTCTATATTTTTCAATTTTTAATAAAGATATTTTGAAATTTTATGTATTTTTGCCTTGCCGCAAGTGAGAACTGCATTCAAGGAGATATATATATCGGCCGCAAGCACACATATATTCCCACCCTATTTGGCTCAGGGAGCTCAGTATTTTTATTCTTATATGCTGGTACAATTTTTGCGGTAAGAGAGGTTAAAGTATGTTGTTCTTATGCTCCAGTTAAGGTTTTTATGCCTTTAATTTGCACGCAATAATTGTAGAATCATCAACAGCTTAAAAGTTAAGTGACGCTAGACCTAACGAGGCCGCCTTTGTTTGCACTTGAAACTCTTCGTAGAATAGTGAATTAAGTCACTTACTGCACCAACCTAAAGTCTCTTTTTGCCCACTGGGACCAAAGTTAACTTTGAATTTAAGGCACCGAAAATGTCTTCCTGCACGTTGCCCGAATTGGTTTCTTATGTGTAGAAACGCTAATTTTAATTGTAAAAATTGTTTTCTTCAAACGTTCTTAACTGTATTTGCTGTTTTAGGTTTTTCTATATTTTGCAATTCTTAATGAAGATGTTTTGAAATTTTACATATATTTGCATTGCCGCGTAGTGAGAACTGAATTGATTGAATGAGAAATATATCTCTGATGAAATTCGAGGAAATAAGTTTAGTATAAGGCAACAAAAAAAAAAAAAAAAAAAAAAAAAAAAAAAAAAAAAAAAAAAAAAAAAAAAAAAATGTATAATTTAATAGGCCGTACAAGGAAGTCCGCATTAGATATTTTTTTAATAGCGGTATAACGACAAAAAAAATAGTGACTCTAAAAGTCATTAATTCTTTGCAAAACTATATGACATCTTTAAACAAACATTTCAATTAAGAATTACAATTCAAGACCGTATGCTCAATACAAATAATTTGATATTTCTTAACGATAACGGGATTATTAATAAAATCCCGTTATCGTTATCCGTTAAATATCGGATCTTTGAAAACCAGTTTCATTATTGTTCTTAAATACTATTGTTTTGTTTCTCAAATAAAAATGAAGGATAAAATATGTTTCTCAAAGAGATGAAAGTGCTGATTTCCTTGCTTGAAAAACTTATTTCTTACAAAGCACAAACGTATCAAGCTTCATCCATTATGGGAAAGATTGAGGAGCTGATAATGGATAACAAGTTAGAATCTGTACAATTTTTGTAAGTATGCAAGATTTATAAAATGCATTGATGCAAAAATGTATTCATGATTAAATTTTCTATAACACAGTATTGTAAATCTTGTTAACCTTTCCTTTCCGAAAGAGCCACCAGCCTATCAGTCCTATTTTGTAACACTGTGAGCTTTTTATTATTTCATTGCACCCGTTTTCATTCGTTTGATATTAGGAACGAATTAATCTGATCATCAGAAACGGAAACATTTACTGTTCTTTTAATGTATTAGTCGTCATAATATATCATTCTGAAATCCATGTTGTTGAAACTTTTGTTAAATAAACAAGATTTTCAGATATATTTTTTACTTCCTTGTACGAAGTAAAAAGGAAGTAGTGTATTGTAATCGCGAAAAGTTTCAGGCAGTATATTTCAACGAAAATATCTACTTTGACCGCTATCGAATGCAATTTAACGATGTTTTTGCGTGACATCTGTACGTAAGGACAGAATAAAAGACTCTTTTCCTCCAACAAAATAAAAATAAAAAATAATGTTAAATAATAATAAAATAATAAATGTATTAAAAAGAATTCTGAAGAGAATTTTTGTGGTGTCTGTAACGTATATATCTCGCATAACTCAAAAACGAGTAGCCTCAAAACATTGAAATTTTGTATATAGGACTGCTGCTATAACATTAGATATGCACGTCGTATTTTGATTGCAATCGGCCGTATCAAACGTATATAAATATATTTTTATATATATCCACTCTGTTACCCGGCTCAGTGATCTCAGTTTATATACGCTTATATGTTTGTAAATTGTGCATTTTTTGTTTTAAAAATGATAGAATTATGTTGTTCTTATCTTCCGGTTAACGTTTTTATGTCTTTAAGAAATCTGCAAGCAATGTTTGTAGAATTATCAACAATTTAAAAGCGGTTTAAGTGCGGTTAAGCCTAATTTTTAAATAACATGGCGGATATGTTTGTTTACATTTGAAACAGCAGAATAGTAGATTTGTTGCCAATCTAGGGAGACTAAGCTTCGCAACAACAAAGATAATGCCTTCATTTATTATTGAAAATTAAATCATGCTTAATCCTTTCTGGTATTTTTTCGAGGAAATAAGTGTTTGATTTTACTTTAATTTTTAATATATATATTTTTGAGCTTTTATGTATTTTTGTCTTGTCACGAAGTGAGAACTGAATTAATTGAATGAGAAATACTGAACCGTCTGTGAAAAACTTTTTTTTTTTTTTGGTTACTTAATTTCTTTTATACATCGTGCTAGATTTATTATAGTAATTGAATAGAACATGTGGCAACGATTCGACAATTCTTCAAATGATATAAATTTTGTGCATTCTGAGTTATAATATGAACGAAATATAACGCTGTTAAGTGAACCTAGCGCCAGACTGTCGTTATGTTAAACAAATATAGTGGATTTTAGAGAGTGTATTTATTCTATTGTGGTTTATGCGCTATCGACGAAGTAGATTTAATTCAATCCAATAAGTTTAAAGGAAATGCAATTTAATATTCCATTCATATGGTGTACACATCAGATTTTTTTTAAAGTAAAAATAGCTCTCGTATTCAAGTTAAAACTGAAGTAGTTCAAAGATGTTAGAGAAAAAATATATTATTAATGTTTAAAATTAATAGTTTCAAGGGATATGTTTTTTTAATGAAGAAGGAATTTGCTTAGGAATTTAGGAAAAAGCACAAACCTTAGAAAGCTAG